TCCCTGCTCCATCATGAGCAGGGCTGGCTGCAGCTCTGCAGGCTGGAACTTGTGTTTAACAACAAACTCTTGCAGACATCATTTGGGACCTTCTGTAGCTCACTCTTCAAGATGTTTTAAGTTTTTGCTTTGTTTTAAGACTTTTGATCTTCCTCTAAGCTCAGCCTCTTAACGTTTAGAATTTATTGGGATTTGGTTTCAGCTGTGTAAGGCCACTGGTTGCTTTTTGGTCTGGATTTTTGCACTGGGAGCCAGCTGATGGGTCATCCTTTGGGACATTAGGGTATTTGTGCTTATTTTTAGCCTTTAATTGGCAGTGATCTGTACTTGGAGCTGCAGAGTGTCAAGGGCTTTTCTCTTTGTGCTCTCAAGAAGCTTTCCTTTCTCTTTCATCTGGATGCAGCTGTGTTTCCCTTCTGCTCACAGAGTGCAGAGAACATGGGGAAAGCAGCTCCAAGAACCATCCCAGAGGCTGCTGGGGCTCAGGGTGCTGCACCCAGGGCTCAGGGACACCTGAACCCTGTTCCAAGCAGCACCATGGACCTGTCCCTGACCTTCCCCAGCCACTTGCTGCTATTTTTTTTCCCTCTTCTTCCTCTCTTTTGTGTTGCCCCGTTTAGCTGTAACCTCTTTGGGCAGGAACACGGTGTGTGTGTTCATATAAAGGGCTGAGAACAATGTGCCCCAGATGGTTTGTACAAGTGCCTTCTCAGCAGCCACAGGGTTTCATTCTACAGGGAAAATATTCTTAAAAATACAACTCTTCAGCATCTTATACTTGCAAATGTGGGCAGGAACTTCCCGAGCCTTGATATTTTGGTCCAAGTCACAGAGACAAGGGGTAGCACTAGAATTGCAGCTTTTCTTTTTTTAAGGGAAAAAAACAACTCCCCCCAACCCCAATTCCCCTTTTCTCACCTTTGCATCTGCAGGGAAAAACTTGTAAATGTGACTGGAGCAGCTCTGACCTGCTTAAAACCAGATGGCAAAGAAAAAGGACCCAATGTTTCAACAAAAGCACTGTGAACTCCCTCTTTGGGAAGCAGGCTGTGTGGGCTTGCCCCATTTTTATGGCACTTCCAGTGTTTCTGAGGTTCTGTTTTGGGGTGCTGAGGCACTTGCCTGCAGTTTGTTTCCCTTGCAGGATCCCTGGCACTGCAGACACCACAGGGCACTGCTTATTTGCTTTAAGACCACAGCTTGCTTTGGAATGTCTTCTGCCAAATTTCAGGACAATTCATTTTTTTTTTCTTTATTTATCCCACTCCCTCCCAAAGAGAGAAACAAGTTTTCTTAGTCTCATCTTGCATCAGATTTGATTCCAGGCCAACAAATCCAGCCTAGAAGGTGCTTTCCTGAGGCTGCTTGCCTTGCTGTGACCTTTTGGGAGAGGATTCCTGTGCAAAATGGAACATTGTGAAATCAGTTTTATACAGGGAATCTGCCCCCATGCTGCTGCTGCCTGGGGAGGATGGGTCAGGTCTGGGTCCCTGTTTTCTGTCCAAAGGCTGCTGTGTTTTAACAAACACAGGGGTTTTTTTGCCCTGGAGCAGTGGGAGTCCTGGGATTTTACCAAAAGTTTCTGTTTCTAATTAGGTTGTTCTCAATTTTAAAGGCCAGTGATCCTTTTATGGCACGGGGTGGAAAACCTGAGCAGTCACTGACACTGCACAGAGGTGGATCCTGCTTTTGTCCTGAGGTCCAGGGAGCCACTGTGTCCCCTCAGCACTCCTGGGATGAGAAAATCAATTCCCCCCAGCCCTTGGCTCATCCATGGGGGACCTTGGCTCATCCATGGGGGAGGCTGCTGGGCAGAGTGTGAGGGAGCATCACTGCCCTGACTCACATGGATTTGGTTTAGGGACTTCCTGCTGCTCTGCTTGGGAAAGGGGGAATTGCAGCATGGCAGTCCCAGCACGGGGGGCTGGGCTGTGGCCTCTGGGTGTGAATCTGGCCCAGCTGCCTGAAATTGGAGTTTGGGGCTGGGCCCCTCCAGGAGAGCTGCCGAGGCTCCACAGGCAGGACCAGAGCTGTGCTGAGCTGCTCCTTGAGTGTGTCTGGGCTGGGAAAGGGCAGCACAGCCTCCCTTGTGCTCACAGGAAACAGGATTGAATTTTTCCCTTCTGCCTCACTTCATTGTCTGAAATTCCCTTGCAGAGCTGGCCCATAACTCTTCAAAGAAAATAATCCCAAGCGCCGGGGCTGGAGCTCCCTGAGCTCTGGCTGGCGGCCGCCTGACTCTGTGCAAACAGTCTGGGCCTGGGATCCCCTGGGACTGAGCATAAAGCTCTGATTGAGAAGGAAAACAGGTTATGGAGCTGCAGCAGGGCTGTGCATCACCAGCTGCTCCCCTTGTGGCTGGGAAAGCAGCTCCCTGAACGCCAAGGTGTGAGCGGCCTGCTCTGGGAAGCTGTGAGGGAACAGCTCTGGTGGCATGGGGAGGTGTGGGACAGGCATGGGGAGGTGGGACAGGCATGAGGAGGTGTGGGACAGGGGGACAGGCGTGAGGGGTAGGACAGGCGTGAGGAGGTGGGACAGGCGTGGGGAGGTGTGGGACAGGCATGGGGAGGTGGGACAGGCGTGGGGAGGTGTGGGACAGGCATGGGGAGGTGGGACAGGCATGAGGAGGTGGGACAGGCATGGGGAGGTGTGGGACAGGCATGAGGAGGTGGGACAGGCGTGAGGAGGTGTGGGACAGTCGTGAGGAGGTGGGACAGGCATGAGGAGGTGGGACAGGCATGGGGAGGTGGGACAGGCGTGAGGAGGTGTGGGACAGGCATGAGGGGTGGGACAGGCATGGGGAGGTGGGACAGGCGTGAGGAGGTGTGGGACAGGCATGGGAGGTGGGACGGGCATGGGGAGCTGTGGGACAGGTATGAGGAGGTGGGACAGGCATAAGGGGTGGGACCGGCATGAGGAGGTCGCCAGGGCAGCCCCAAGTGCTGAGCCCGGAGCGGAAACCATCGGGGCAGTGAAGAATGAGCAGGATGTCACGTGTGGGCCCAGCGTGCTCGGGGCTGGGGCAGAACAAAGCTGAGGGAAGCCCTGCTCCTGCCGCTCCCAGCGCACTTCCTGCTGGCACGGACGCGCTCTGGGGGAAGGGAGCAGCAGGGCAGCAGCCAGCACGGGGCTGCCCAGCTCTGGGAGGCATGGAGGGCTCCCCGTGCCTCAGTTTCCCTCGTGCAGCAGGATGGTGTCCAGTTGTTGGTGTGTTGTGGCCTCAGACAGCCAGGCTGCTGTGCCCTAGGGATGCTCCAGGGGTGTTGGATGGGGGCAGGAGGTCCAGGCAGGTCCCACAAGTGGCAGCCCAGCACTCTGCACCTTGGAGCAGCTCTGTTCCCTCCTGGGGAGCAGTGGCAGTGTGCCCAGGTGCTGTGGAAGTGAGGATTTGGTGTCAGCCCCCCTCAGGGGCTGTCCTTACACAGCCAGCCCTTCCCCCTGCTGAGCTCTGCCTTTGGTGTCTTTTTCCCTGGGCTGTTCTTAGAGCTCCCACATTTCCCTCTGTGTACCATTGAGCATGAGAAGCTTTTTCTTTACTTTTTTTTTTGTTATTAATAGCTATTAAAAGCCAATAAAAAGTTTTACGGGGTTTGGCCAAGCCTCAGAGCTCACAGTGTGTTCATTTCCTGGAGCTGGAGGGGGGGTTTGCTTGGATAAACCACAGGGTCAGCAGGAATCTGTGGTGGCCCTGGGAGCTTTCAGTGGTGTCACAGGGGCTGGAGAGGAGCAGAGAGAGGTGGGGAAGGGGACAGGGTGAAGGATGGCAAGGGTCAAACTGGGAGCAAAACCAGAGCAAGGGAGAAATGGAGGTGTGGGTCTCTCATGTGTCCTCCCAGTGTGTGCCTGGATGATGTTTGACCCCTCTGTCCATGCTGAGTTTCCTGTCTGTCCTTCCTGCCTCCCACACGGGCACCCCTGTGAGGAGGAGCCCAGGCTGGGAGGGAGAGCACAGTTCCCTCCTGGGCACCTGGTTCCTCAAGCACAGAGCAGATCCATGGTTCTTTTCATCCCAGTCTTGTGTCCAGGAGGACTCAAGGCTTTGGTTGACCTCGATGTTGGGCTTGCACAGGGATGTGTGTGGAGCCGGTGCCATGGAATCGTGGAATAGTTTGGGTTGGGGGGACCTTTAAAGGTCACCTCATCCAGCCACGAGCAGGGCTGTGCACACAAGAAGGAGCTCCCTGGTTTGGGGGGCTGAGCTGGTTCCTGCCTGTGGAGGGGAACCCAGATAACCCCACCAGCAGCTTGGGGGCTTTCCAGCAGCCTCATGGGAGCACACAGGCAGCAAGGTGCTGTACCCTGAGCAAACAAGCTGCCATGAGCATCATTTGTTCTGGCCAGGGTCACAGCCAAGGGGCCTCGCTCCCAGCTTTGCAATGAAAATGAAGGTTGGTTGATAAGAGCAGAGGAGGAGGCAGTGGGATGTGAGCAGGTTCCTGTTTGCCAAGTGGGTGTTTCCCCAGCCCAGGTGGGCTGTGGTGGGTGCCCTGAGCGTGGCTGTTCCCCAGGAACCGTGTCCTGGGCAGGGCTGCTGGCACAGGATCCTGGCCCTGCCCCTGGATCCACAGGGACCCTCCCAGCCAGGTGAAATCAGTTTCACTCCATGGGCAGCCCCACAATGCTGGGTTCACTGTGCCCCCTGCTCCTGGGGGCTCTCAGAGTCCCTGGCTGGTGCCTCTCAATGCTTCCAGACGCTGCTCTTGGAAAGAGCTTCCCCATGGGGACAGTTCTGTCCCCACATCACTCCTGGCTGGCTCCAGCATGGAGCCATTCATCAACCATTTCACCTCCAAGCTTTTTTAAATTCATTTGTTTATTTAAACCAACACCTCAGGCATGGGGCTCTCTGGAACCTGATGTTTCTCCCAGCTTCTCCCACCCTCAGCTGCAGCACTGTCACTGCTGTAGGAATTACCTGACTGCAGGGAAGGTGCTGGAGGGACTCTGAGGAACCCAGAGCCCTCTGTTGCCCTCTGCCTTCTCATCCTGATTTTGTGCCTCTCTCTTTGCACAGCTGGGACGCCGAGGAGCTGCGCTGGGAGGACCCTGTGTGCAGGATGTTCTCTCCACCAAAGACCTCCCTGTGAGCGGCGATGATGCCAGTCCTGGCAGGACCTTGGGAAGCACTGACATTGCAGTAGCCCAGCAGCCCTGGACGGCCTCTTGCCCCTGGTTCTCCAGCCCCCACCCTCCCAGCGCTCCCCGGGATGCTGTATTAAGCAAGAGGAACCCTGCTTGTGTCCTCCTCACCCTTCCATTTTCGGCAGCTCTGGGATTTGTATGGCAGCAGCGTAACCGTGGAGAGGCCGGGGTATCACAAACTTATGGATTTTGATAAGAGAGGAGGGAAAGGGGAGCTGGAGGAAGGTAAAAGAATGTCCAAGACAGGTGGAGGAAGGAGTGGTCATGGAGGCCGGGGTGCTGGAACCAACTCGGGAGTCTTAATGGTGGGTCCCAACTTCCGTGTCGGCAAGAAGATTGGATGCGGCAATTTCGGGGAGCTCCGTCTAGGTGAGAAGGGTCATGTCTGTCCTCACTGTACCCACTCCTGCCAGGACTGCCCTGGCATCCTCCTCCTGCACCAGCCTGTGGCCATGGGCACAGTGGTGCTGACTGGGCACACAGAGTGGAAGCATTGCCCCTGTTCTGTTCCTCTTCCTCCATTTGTGTTTGATCTGCCAAGGCCCACCCAGCCCAAAGGACTCATTGCAGAGGTGTTTCCCATCTCCCCCCGTGCCTGTTGCTCTCTGGGTCTGTCAGGGAGAGCACTACAGGCTGGATCTGTCTGTTGTAAGCAGTGGTGGCCACGGAGATCTGGGTGTCCCCCAAATCCAGGAACACTGAGTGGGGAAGGATTCAGGAGATGCCACTGTGGGCTCACCAAATCTCACCCCACTTGTGCTCTGGGTGTGCCTCAGGACAGGGGATGGAGCATGGGGGTCTCAGGGATGCTCACTCTGCTGGGACAAACACCTAAGGAGAAAAATCTGTGTTTTATCCTGGATAAATTCTTCAGTTGTTGAAACTGGTTATGTGAGAGACTCTCCTGAAATTCTGTGCAGGTCAGAGAAAGGGAGGAATAAAACTCAAGCATCTTCCATTTTGAACCAAGTTTATCAGGAAACTCCTCAAGCAAACTCCTGTTTGGAGGGTGGGGAGGTTGCTCCTCTCCCAGAACTGGGAATGTCCCTGGAGACTTTCAGCAAGCTGTTAACCCTTTGCTTGGCATCAGGCAGGGCCAGGCACCTCTATGCCAGCAGCACAGTCTGGATGTCTCCAGGAATGTGTGGGTGGAGTCCCTGCCAGCTTGGTGTGAGTGCTTTGGGAAGGGGTTTGTGCTCTGGGGAGAGGGAGGAGAGGCAGTCCCCAGAGCCTGGCACAGCCACAGCCTTGTTGCTCTGTGATATTTTAAGCAGCACCTTCTCAAACCAAGCTCTGAACTAAACCTGCCCTGAGCTAAACCTGCCCTGACCGTGGGCCTGGGGAGGAGCTGTGGCAGCCCTGGCTGGGGTGAGGTCAGTGCCCCCTCCCTGTGTGGGGAGTTAATGCCAGCTCTGCCCTGTGTGCCAGACTGCCTGGTGCCAGGCTCGCCCGTCCCCTCCCCGCACTTCCCCGCTGTGTAATTGCAGAGCTGGGGAAACGCTCTGCTGAAATCCAGCCCGGCAGTTCCCCTGCTCAGCTGTCTGTCCTGCTGTCATGAGGAGCTCTGAGCCTTCCTCCAGACCCAGGGCTTGTGGAAGGAGAGGTGCTGGGGGGTTTTGCTGCACCAGCTGCTCCTTTCAGTTCCCTGGGTGGACCTGCCAGTGCCTCCCAGAGAGCCCTGAGCTGTGCAGGCTCCACCTGTGTCCCTGCACCTCCTTTTCCTTGCTTGCCACTGAGCATTCTGCAGTGGGTCTGTGTTTCTGGGTGAGCTGGATCCTGGCAGGAGGCTGGGGCTGTGTTGCTTTGCTGTGCTCGGTGCTGAGGGGTCACTGTGACCCCCCTGCCTTTTCCTCCCCCTCATTTTCAGTGAGGGGACACGAGTGTGACATGGATCTGACAATGTCTGTCAGACTGGCAGGGAGGTTGCTGCAGGGACCTGGGAGCAGTTGGGCTCAGTTTGCTCCTGGCTGCAGGGACAAGCAGCCAGCTCTCGCTCCAGGGCTCCACAGTGGTCGATTGTCACAGTGAGAGTTTGTCCTTGCCACCAGCAAGAGAAGCTTCCAGTCCCTCCACGTGGCTTTTCAGCTCTGTCACAGCCTGCAGGGCCTGGCCATAACATGCCAGAGGCCTGAGCACGGGATCTCATCACCACAGCTATGTGGCTTCTCTCCTAAAATCACAGCTCTCTTCCTTAGGTGTGCCTCCAGACTGCATCAGGGCTCAGGAATGCGTTCAGGATTTAGGGATTCCTCCAGCTGCACATGAATGGCAAGGGAGCAGAGGGCTCCTGCTGTGAAGTGGTGGCACGAGCAGGGATGTTCCCCAGTGCTTGCTGGGCACTCAGCTTTCCCTGGGAATAGAGAATTCAGTCCTCAAGGCTTTAGAGGCCAAACTGCAGCTCAGTATTTAAAAGCTCCCAGACCTTCTTTGGCCTTTTTGCTCTCATAACAAAGGCCATGAGATCTTGAAAAAATGTACCTGGAGGTGATCTTCCATCTCCCAGTGGTGGGGAGGGAGGAAGGGGACAGTGTCATCCCCAAAAAGGGACCACTTTGCCCTATTTCTGCACCCCACCAAGGGGCACGTGGTGATCTGTCCTGAGGGTGCTTCAGCTCAGCTGCCCCAGGTAGAGACAGATGTCCACCCATGTAGGAGGTGTCCAAAGTCAAGTGATCTGTTTAAAGATAAAATCTAAACAAACAATTGGCATCACGCATTTGTGGCAAGCCAGAAGGGGAATGACGTGGGCAGGAGTTGTGGCTGCCAGGGCTGTGCATTTGGATCCTGCTTCTCCCTGTCCCTGCTGGCCTTGGCATCCTGGGCAATGCAGGGACCTGGTGCCAGTCCCAGTCTGGCCCAGGCACA